CGTTCTTTACTTTTGGTTCAAATATCTGAAGACAATTCCTTCGGGGCTGGTGTCACACAGACCACCTAGAGGGACCTTCTAATTGTATTTACAGTAATTTAATTACAGCAGGGAGAGCTTCAGAAGGCAGGATTTACCAAGATCGATACTATGGGTGCCACTGGCAGCGTTTTAATCTGTTAAATCAACATAGAAATAGTAAAACATAAAGCCACTCCTTAGTTTGGAAACCACTTTATAGACTTTTTCTTCTTTTTTTTAGGGGAAGCTGGGAGGGTGAAGAAGACATTTTCCTGGGGTCCACAGCTTTAATACTTTTGTTCATATTATTTTATACTCCATACATGCACAATGTCCATCTGATCACACACACAGAAGAGTCTGGATATCGCAAACTCACCATAGCCAAGTGTGTAATGGTGCGCATGCATGTACTTAATTAAATATATCTCTGGATAGTTATTCAAGAACTTGGTAACAAGTTCCTCCTCTGGAGAGGAGATCTGAGGAGCAGTGGGAGGGAGACTTACTTTTAACTTCATTTCCCATTCTTTTATTTGGGGCTTTTGTTTTTCCAAAACAATTTTACAGAAAAACATTTAAAATAGTTTTTTGATGTTTGCATATCATGCAAATATTAAATCCTACAAGTCAGCAACCTGTATATAATTCAGTCAATTGTAGATCATTTGGCTAACTAGTTACCCAGCTTTGGTTGGTGCCTTTCCCTTTGGGGGCATCAGCTTTCCTATCTGTAAAATGGGAGGGAATAGGCCAGCTGCTCCTGAAGGCCCCATCCCCTCCCACTGTAAGAATTTACTGACCAGAGTCTAAAAACAGCATGTACTGCTACTGCCATCTAGCAGTCCAACTGGTGCTGTGTGGATCCAGCTTTTCTTAGGCATTTTGAAAGAGGCCTGGGGACTATTATTCAGAAACACAAAAACTTCATTGAATATGCGGCTACCCTATTGCCCCTGAGTGCTTTCTGAGCTGGAGAGTATAAATATATAAACAAATCTTTAGACATTTAAAAAGTTGTTCTGAGCCTGTAATATCTGACCAACATAGTAAAACCATCATTGCAATCCAGGCTGTTAAATACAACAGATACCTGCTGGGCACCTACTATGCCTGCAGGGCACCGTGCAGATGCGTGTGTGTGTGTGTGTGTGTGTGTGTGTGTGTGTGTGATAGAAAGATACAGGAATTTGGCATCATGCAGTTCAGACACCGTAGCCCTATGAGGACAGAGACTGTGACCTTTTGGAAGGTGTATTCCCAGTTAGCCCATGCATCTCCAGCAGCTAGCATAGTACTGGCACACAACAGGAAGGGAGGGAGGGAGGGAGAGAAGGAAGGAAAGAAGGAAGGAAGGAAGGAAGGAAGCAATGAAGGAAGGAAGGAAGGAAGGAGGGAGGGAGGGAGGGAGGGAGGGAGGGAGGAGAAAGGAAGGAAAGAAGGAAGGAAGGAAGGAAGGAAGGAAGGAAGGAAGGAAGGAAGGAAGGAAGGAAGGAAGGAAGGAAGGAAGGAAGGAAGGAAGGGGATTTGAATTCATGCCCCTGCGTATGAGGGCATTTTCCTCTCTGAGCCTTCGTTTCCTAGCCTGTACAATGGCCCCTGACTGTAAGGATCCAAAGACATGACCAGGGGCAATGCCTCTGTCAGCTGGAAAAAGGAGGTGGGGGGGGTCCTTCACATTTTGAGGCTCATCAACTACTTACTATAGATGACTATGAAATATGTTCTTTACTGCCCAGATTGATATTTCCGTTTGAGAACTAGAAAATGTTTTCTGCCATGTGTTCTAAGTTTACTTGATGAGCTAAAAGGGATAGTGTAGAAACAGTACAAATTCAGCATGAAGTCCACACAGGGATGGTTCTCCCTCTTCTTCCCCCAATCCTGCCCTATCCTGGCAAAAATATAGCTTGTGCTCTGTTTTTACTTCATCTCCAGGTTCCTATATATGTACACTGAAGGAATTCATTTAGATAAACTCCAAAATCTCTTTCCTTTTAAAACAGATTCGAACAGAGAAATTTTTACAAGGACATCATGGGCCCAACAGTTCTAAAGAAACTATGATCTACTGCCACCTGATGGTGGTGCGTTGAATTATTTTAAGTTTTAAGCACAACTAAAGTTTAGCATTTAAATATTATTAACTACGACCTAATGAATTTGCACACATAGTTACATGGTATCTCATTACAGTGCCGGGGGCAAGAGATGTTTTCGCAAAAGGTCATGATAGCAGACACTTCAGGAGCCATGATTCAGTACTAAGTCCCACCTGAATTCTCCCACTTAATTCTCATAGCCATCAGTTCTTTGATTATCCCCACTTTACAAATGAGGAAACTGATAGTCAATGAGGTAACGACTTGCCCAGGTCACAAGGTTGGTAAATAGCAGACACAGAACTCAAGCCCAGCTCCTTCTGATTAACAATGATGCTCCCGGCATGGTACACGCTACAATGTTGATTTTCTTACTCCTGACTCGAAAAACACTTAACATCTTTGAAGAAATTTCTTCAGTTACAAAGAATGAAATAAAAATAACTGGAAATCCCATCATTAAAATGAAATCAATGTTAACATTCTGTGCATATATATCCTATATATATATATATATATATATATATATTTTTTTTTTTCCAGAAAAGGAATTCAGACTGGATCTGAATTCTTGGGCTCAAGTGACCCTCCCACCACAGGCATGTGCCACCATGCCCAGCTTCACTGTGATTACTTGTCTGTTTCTTCTTCTATACTGTTATTTTAACAAGGGTGGTGATAATGCCTTTTTTAAAAAAAAAAAAATCTCATCCATTGTATTTCTACCTGGCACAAATTAAGTATTTACTAAATTTAATTAGATAAATAAATGAGTGGAGAAATGATTGAATTAAAAAAGAAAGGGAGGCTGGGCATGGTGGCTTACACCTATAATCCTAGCACTCTGGGAGGTCGAGGTGGGAGGATCGCTCAAGGTCAGGAGTTTGAAACCAGCCTGAGCAAGAGCGAGACCCCATCTCTATTAAAAATAGAAAGAAATTAACTGGCCAACTAAAAATATATAGAAAAAAATTAGCCAGGCATGGTGGCACATGCCTATAGTCCCAGCTACTCAAGAGGCTGAGGCAGAAGAATAGCTTGAGCCCAGGAGTTTGAGGTTGCTGTGAGCTAGGCTGATGCCATGGCACTCTAGCCCAGGCAACAGAGTGAGACACTGTCTCAAAAAAATAAAAAAAAGAAAAGAAAAAAAAGAAAGGGAGACCAGGCATAGTGGCTCACACCTGTAATCCTAGCACCTTGGGAGTCCCGGGTGGAAGGATCACTTGAGGCCAGGAGTTTTAGAACAGCCTAAGCAACCTAGCAAGACCCCATCTCTACAAAAAATAGAAAAATTAGCTGGGCGTACTAGTGCGCACCTGTAGTCCCAGCTACTCAGGAGGCTGAGGCAGGAGAATCTCTTGAGCCTAGCAGTTTGGGGTTGCAGTGAGCTATGATGAGGCCACTGCATTCTAGCCTAGACAACAGAACAAGGCCTTGTCTCAAAAAAAAAAAAAAATTAAAATTTAAAAAAATTATATCTTCTCAAGAACAGTTCAAATAATGCTTGCTCAAAAACTTTCAGAATATCCCTAAATTTCAAAATATCCCTAAATAATTGCTCCAGTAAATTTTTGTAAAAGAACAAATTTACTGATACTTTCTCTTTGCATTCTTCTCCAATTCCATTTCCCTTGTCTTTCTTCCCAGAGACAGCCACAACCAAGACTTTTGTGTGACTTTTTATTTATTTATTTATTTTTTTGAGACAGAGTCTCGCTTTGTTGCCTAGGCTAGAGTGAGTGCCGTGGCGTCAGCCTAGCTCACAGCAACCTCAAACTCCTGGGCTCAAGCGGTCCTTCTGTCTCAGCCTCCCAAGTAGCTGGGACTACACGCATGAGCCACCATGCCCGGCTAATTTTTTCTATATATATATTAGTTGGCCAATTAGTTTCTTTCTATTTATAGTAGAGACGGGGTCTCGCTCTTGCTCAGGCTGGTTTCGAACTCCGGACCTTGAGCAATCCGCCCGCCTTGGCCTCCCAGAGAGCTAGGATTACAGGCGTGAGCCACCGCGCCCGGCCTGTGTGACATTTTTAATGCATGAATTTATATATTGCCTACATATATAAGCATCTATAGCAATATCTAGAATGTTTAAGTAATTTTAAAATTTTTATATATATCATACATCATTGTTTCTTTCTGCAAATTGCTTTTTTCACTCTACTTTGTTTTTGAGATCTCCATTTGTTCATACATGTAGACCTAGTTTATTTTTCTAACTGCTGTCTGGATTCAATTTGGTAAATATGATACATTTTAATTTTCAAATTCTATTTTGAATGAGTAATTCATTTACCTGGTTTGGAAATGAAAATTATACAAAATCATACATATTTGAGGTCTGTTACACCTCTGTTCCTGTCTATCCTATTTCCATATCTATCACTTATAAGTTTTCTTATATTTCCTTCCAGCAGTTCATTATGCAAATACAAATATATATTCTTATTTTCAACTCCTTTATTTTACAAAATATACCATATTATATTCACTCTTCTGCATTTTGCTTTTTTTTTTTTTTTTTTTTACTTAACAGTATATCTCAGAATCACTATGAAGTTGGGTTCTCAGTTCCATGGGAGGTGCAGGGACCAAAGTCCCCTTAAATATGGAGCTTCTGGGGGATAGCAAGACCTCGACTGGGAATGACTGTGGACCTGCCTTGGGAGCCTCAGCAGTGGTCTACATGGCCAATCTTGTCATAGGAGAAAGGAGGTGCCAGTTTCCAAATGGAACAATGGCAAGACTGGCCCTCATGGACCAAAGAACTTCCACATTTTCTCAGACTGTTGATTTTGAGAAACATTGTTCAAAGCAAGGATAAGGACATGGAATGGCCACAAAGGTCATAGATCGAAATCAATTATGTCTTACCAATAGATGGAAGCTGTTTTGACAGTAGGCTTTCAAAGCTCATCCCATGAACACAAAAATAGCATCCAGAAGATTGTCTTATGTCAAAGACCTTAATCCCCCAAAAGGAAGATATTTATGTAAGTCCAATTAGGCAACAAGCAATGAGTCAAAATCATGTTTGAGAACTGGAAAAAGAGGATCTATAAACTTAAAATGAGCAGGAAAGATTTAATTGGTGACAGTGATGGTGTCATCCAATGTTGTCACTTGGATAAAACAACTGCAGACAATCTTGCTAAGCTCATGTTTCTGTGTATATCATCTAACAGCATGTGCCGTTATCAACAAAACAAAAAGAAATCCAACTATAAGAATGACATAAAAACCTCCCCAGTGAACAGGTGGTGCTACTACCTCACATCTGCTTGTTAGAGCTTTATGATTTTCCTGCTAGTTGCTTTTCTTTTGTTTGTTTGTTTGTTTGGTTGTTTTTTACCTTAACTGTAATACAGTGGTTTTCTAATTTTTTTCTTATTTCTTTATGTCACTTTGCAGCAGCAAAGCTGATGCACTTCCTAGAATAGTCAAGAACTCCAAAGGAACTCATAGAAACAGAGAGTATAATGGTGGTTACCAGGGGTTTAGGGATGGGGGAAAGGAGATGTTGGTCAAAGAGTACAAACTTTCAGTTATAAGATGAATAAGTTCTAGAGACCTAATGTACAGCATGGTGACTATAGTTCATAATAATGTATTGTGTACTTGAAATTTGCTAAGAGAGTAGGTCTCAAGTGTTCTCATCACGCACAAACACAAAAGTGACTATGTGAAGTGATGGATTTGTTAATTAGCTTGATTGTGGTAATCATTTCACAATATACATCAAAACATCATGTTATATTCCTTAAATATATACAATTTGATCTGACAATCATATATCGATAAAACTGGGGGAAAAATTCAAAACCTCATCTTTAAGATGATTTATGAGAAATTTGGAAACTGAGTCTTGAGATCTGGGAATAAAATAAATACTTTGGTTACTATAGCCTTGTAGTATAGCTTAAAGTCTGTTAAAGTGATGCCTCCAGATTTTAAGGTTGCTTTGGCTATTCGGGCTCTTTTCTGGTTCTAAATGAAGCATAGAATTATTTTTTCTAGATCTGCAAAAAATAACTTTGGTATTTTGATGGGCATTGCATTCAATCTGTAAATCACTTTGGGTAGTATGGACATTTTAACAATGTTGATTCTGCTGATCCATGAGCATGATGTTTTTCCATTTGTTTACATCATCTGCAATTTCCTTCCTCAGTGATTCATAGTTCTCTTTGTAGAGATCGTTTACCTCCTTGGTTAAATATATTCCTAGATATTTTATTTTCTTTGTAGCTATTGTGAAAGGTATTGAGTCTTTGATTTGGTTCTCAGCTTGACTATTGTTGGTGTATAGGAATGCTACTTATTTGTGTACATAGATTTTGTAACCTGAAACTTCGCTGAATTTATTTATCAATTCCAGGAGTCTCTTGGAATCTTTGGGGTTTTATATATAAGATCATATCATCAGCAAAGAGTGACAGTTTGACTTTCTCTTTCCCTATTTAGATACCCTTGATTTCCTTCTCTTGCCTCACTGCTCTGGCCAGGACTTCCATAGTATGTTGAATAGAAGTGGTGACAGTGGCACCCTCATCTTGTTCCAGTTCTGAATGGGAATGCTTTCAACTTTTTCCCACTCAGTATGATGTTGGCTGTGGGTTTGTCATATATGGCTTTTGTAATTTTGATGTGTGTTCCATCTATGCCTACTTTGTTAAGAGTTTTTATCATAAATGGGTGCGGAATTTTGCAGAATTTTGTCAAATGCCTTTTCTACATCTATTGAGGTAATCATATATATGATCATTGTTTTTGCTTCTGTTTATGTGGTGAATCACATTTATGGATTTACATCTTCTTTTTGGATCTACATCTTCATCTTTGCATCCCTGCAATGAAGCCCACTTGGTTGTGGTAGATTATTTATTTGTTTGATGTGCTGCTGAATTTGGTTGCCTGGAATTTTATTGAGGATTTTTACATCTATATCATGAAGGATATCAGTCTATAGTTTTCTTTTTGTTGTATCATTTTCTTGCTTTGGTATTATGTCAAGGTAATACTGGGTTCATAGAATGAGTTGGGGAGGATCCTTCCTTATCAATGTTATACAATGATTTCTGCAGTATGGGTACCAATTCTTCTTTGTAGGTCTGATAAAATTTGGCTGTGAAACCATCTGGTCTGGGCCTTTTTTTCGTTGGAAGACTTTTTATTGCTGCTTCAATTTCATTACTCATAAATGTTTGTTCAGGAGTTATATTTCTTCCTGATTGAGCCTTGGGAGGTTGTGTGTTTCCATGAATTCGTCCATTAACCAATACAGCATTGTACTGAAACAAAAATAGAGACATAGACCAATTGAACAGAGAACTCAGCTATAAAACCATCCACATATTGCCATATGATCTTTGACAAAGTAGACAGCAATATACACTAGGGAAAAGAATCCCTATTCAATAAATGATGCTGAGAAAATTGGATAGCTACATGTAGAAGATTAAAACAGGGTCCATTATCTCTCACCACTCACAAAAATTAATTCAAGATGGATCACAGACTTAAATCTAAGACATGAAACCATAAGAATTCTAGAGGACAATGTTGGAAAAACTCTTCTAGATGTCGGCCTAGGCAAAGAATTTATAAAGAAGACCCCAACGGCAATCACAGCAACAACAAAAATAAATAAATGGGAATTGATTAAATTAAAAAGCTTCTATACAGCCAAGGAAACAATTTTTGTTTTGGAAATTTGGAAATTCTTCAAAGAACTAAAAGTGGACATACCATTTCATCTAGCAATCCCCCTACTAGGTATTTACTGAAAGGAAAAAATAGTCATTTTATCAAAATGACACTTGCACTAGAATGTTTATTGCAGCACAATTCACAATTACAAAGATGTAGAATCAACCCAAGTGCCCATCAATTCATGAGTGGACTAATAAAATATGGTATTTGTATACCATGAAGTACTACTCAGCCATAAAAAATGAATTAATACCTTTTACAACAATCTGAATGCAACTGGGGACCATTCTCCTAAGTGAAATATCTAAAATATGGAAAAACAAACACCACGTGTACTCACTATTAAGTTGGAACTAACCAATCAGCACTCATGTACACAGATGGAAGTAAACTTCAACAGAAATCGTGCTGGTGGGAAGTGTGAGGAGGGTATGGGTGAAATCATACTTATTGGGTACAATGTACACAATCTAGTAAGTGATGAGCACACTTACAATTTTGACTCAAGCAATACAAAAATGATCGTGTAACCAAAACATTTGTACCCCCATAATATTCTGAAATTTAAAAAAATACTTTTTAAAAACCAAAAGGAAAAAAAAAACTCTAAAGAAACTTTAAGTTCTGTACACATGACTGATCAATTCCATGTAAGTATAAAGTCCACATTGAATCCAACAAAATAAAACAAAACAATCAAAAACCCCAACAATGTATCTTAGAGATCTTTCCAAATGAGTTCACAGTTTGCTCATTCATTTTTAACAGCGGCATAGTATTCTATTTGTGTGGATATACCACAGTTTATTTGCTCATTTCCCTATTGAAATAACACTTTAATGAATAACCTTGTACATTCATAATTTCATACATTTGCAAGTGGATCTTTAGGATAAATTCCCAGAGATAGGATTGCTTGGTCAAAGGGTCAATGTATTTGTAATTGTGTTAGATATTGCCAAATTATCCTCTGGAAGAGTTTATCATTTGGCATTCCATCACCAAGGGCAAGAGAGATTTGTTTCCATGAGCATCTCCAACAGAAAGTGTCCTTGAACAAAAAGAGTATCTCAGTATAGGTCACATTTGTATTTCTCTTATTATGAATGCGGAGTGAAAATCAACATCTTTTCCTATTCTTAGGAGGCATTTACCTTCTTCCTTTCTTTCTTTTGGAACTCTGTACTTTGCCCATTTTTTTTTATATTGTGGTGGTGTTTCATTCCATCTTAATTTCTAGCAGTTTTTTACACAGTAAGTTGATTAGTAGAGTGATTAACCACTTCTGTCTGTTATGTGAGTTGCAAATATATTTTACAATTTACCATTGGTCTTTGGTCTTTGATTATGGTTTCTTTTACTTGAAGAGGTTTTAGATTTTTTTTTTTTTTTGGAAACTGAATCTCCCTCTGTTACCTCATCATATCTCATCATAACCTTAAACTCCTGGGCTCAAGTGATCCTCCTGCCTTTGCCTCCTGAGTAGCTGGGACTGCAGGTACATTCCACCATGCCTGGCTAATATTTTTTTCTTTTTCTTTGTAGAGATGGGGTCTTCGTATGTTGCTAAGGCTGGTCTTGAACTCCTGTCCTCAAGTAATCTTCCTGCCTGTGTCTCCCAAAGTGCTGGGATAGATTGTTATATAGTCAAATTATCAATTTTTTAAATGGTACTTGAATTTTGAGTCATGGTTAGAAAGACTTTCCAAAGCCCGAGGCTATAAGGAATTTTACCCTGTTTTCCTCTAGTATTTTTGTGAAGGAAGGACCCAATTTTCGTTCTCCCAAATGACTACTGAGTTGTGCAACACTATTTATTTACAAAAGCACTTTTACTCGACAAAATGAAGATGCCACCTTTATTCATAAGAAAATTCCCATACATATTTGGGTCTTCTTCAAGATTTTCTATTATATTCCATCGGTCTGTCGTCTATTATTGTACACTTTTAATTATTGATACTTTATAGCATTTTAATATCTGATAGGACTAGTTTCCTTCTTTCCTTCTTTTTGAATTCCACCTGATTTGTTTTGTTTTTAGCTAAATAGGTCACACAGCTCTAAAACCTACTATTTATGGAAACTAACATTAAAATAAAAATCCAGGCCAATACATATGTAAATCATGGCTGTCCTACATTGGGATAAGTTGCCAACTCTGCCTTTAGATGCAATATCTAATGTAACAATCAGTTTACTTAATGGCAACAAATCAGTATGTGCTCTCCAGAGACAAGCACTGATAGTGCCTTCATCCAG